CATTTGAGACTTGGGCTTATATTTGGTGGTTAAGTTTATAAGGTGGGCTATCTTATACATACATATACATGTGCCTCTTCTCTTACCTCTCTTTCAACGACCCTTTTAAAACTTGAAAGTCTCTTTTTGTTCTTGGAATTTTAGTTTCTGCTTTTAAATGTTTTGTATAGGATCAAAAGATATTGTAAATTTGTAATATTATTTTGTAAACCTCCCCAAATGCAGAAAATGGAGTACATATGTATTAGATTTTTGGGATTAAGGCAAAAAGTACTTGAGAAGTTGATGATCAAATGTTGGCGTAATTTTATCAAATGTTGTTGATTTGCATATATGCATTTAGACCTAAAACTTGGGCCTTTATTAAGCTCATTAAATTCAAACTGCTCTTGACTAAAGTATACTAGATTTTGAACCACGCATAAATTTCAGTTTATTGCATAGTAAAAATATATTGTTTTGAATCATACATACCATAATATATTAAATAAATAATTATGTCCACTAAAAAAATTATCCGATCGGTTTTAGAATCTTGAGTACCTTAATATGATAGCTCTTGCGCTTAAGTGTATACAAAAAAAAAAAATGGAAGCATCATCTTATAATGCATGACAAAGAACGTAAATCGAGTGATCTACATCTTATATTTACAAAATAAAAATGCTTTTCAACAGCTCTATAAAATGTTGTTAAACCCAAATTTATCACTGACCAAAATACTACTAATTGAACCGCTTTGAGTTTCCGGGTTATGGATTTGGCAAAAATATATTTTTGTCATCAATGCCCGGTATATATTAAAAATATGTAGAGATTTCCACCATGTCAAATTAGAATGTTATGATTGGTTAATTCAATTAATGTGTTCCCTAAAACTATCTTTGAATGACACCTAGGATTTTTACTTTTAGTGTTTCCTCAATTAATATATGGGTATATATAGGATTAGTATATATCTTTTTCTTCAATTCATAATGTGTTATTGATTTGATTCTCAAATGTAACTCCAAAATCTAAAATTGAAAGTAGCATGTCTCACTATTTTTTTTTTCACTAAATTGTTGTTTATGTAACTCCAGAAGTTGTATTTTTAAAAATATTTAATCATTTAGCAAGCTATTACTATCTACTATAATATTAGAATATTGCTAAAAACTGAAAATAATTTTGGCACTAAAATGATCTCCACAAAGATGATGACTAAAATCATGATTTCTCCCCGTGACCAGGAGGTAT